ATGCATACAGGTGCAAAGAACTATGTTTGTGTTGGTTTTGTATATTTACTAATTATTTGTGTTGCATAAAACACTTGAACTACTTTTGTTCATAAGCCTTTTTTCCGTTTATACACCGCCGTTTTTTGCCCACATTAGCCCTCTCTGGCGGCCTGCCCACCTAGGCTAACGGTGTGATGTAATTTTTTTCACCACTTCTGAGGTTTTTACAGTCGTCGTCCTTTTTGTAGGTTTTTTATTTTTGTTGCGTTTTTCACGGTTTCATTGGCAAAGCCAACGTGTGCCGCCAGGAGGACTACGACTGTGACTGTATGTGAGAGGTTCATTCATTCACGAGTGAGTTGTTTAAGTGACTCTCTCCTTTGAGTGACTAGCTAGCTGGCTGGCTAGGATTGCTGCTGCCGCTGCTACTGCCGTTGACGGCTTGATGGTTTTGTTCTTGGGGTTTCAGCTGGTAATTCTGTGTGAGTTTGGTTGGCTGGCTGGCTGATTGTTTGTTTGTTGGTCTTGTTTTTGCCATTAAAGGTTTGTTTGTGTTTTCGGTTAGTGAAAAAAGGCTTCGGTTTGTAGTTGGTTTTTTTGTTGTTGCTGTTGTTGTTCTGCTTCAGCCCCATTCAGGCTTGTTAAGAAATGCGACTTTATAAAGTTTGTTTGTCGGGATTTTTAGTTGGAAATCATGCAGAGCACCACTAGTCCTTGACTGGTTTTTGAAAAAAGTAGTTAAAGGTTTTTAGGTGAAAAGGACCTTTCTTGTTTTAAAATTAAAAAAAAAAAAAAAAAACAAGAGCAAATTGTTGAACTTTTGTCATAACAGAAATGGAACTTTAAGTTTGCAATAGTGTGTAAATGTTGAGAAAATTAGTTTTACTTTTGAAATATAAATAGAATTATGAATGAAGCCATTGCCATTAAACCGATTAAACAGAGAGTTATTAATGTGTTAATTTTTAGTAAAAGGGAAAGTATACAGATTTAGACCACGCTCTGAAAAATAATGTACGAAATTTAAGATGATTTATTTTCCAATATTGACTGAAATTTTCGATAACTGCTTTGATTTCTGCTAAAGACAAAAAAAAAAACTAAAAAACTTATTTGAAAAAATATCAAATTTAAAAATGAAATTGCAAAATGGTCTTTTCTAAACAATTTTTTTTATTAAAAATACCAAATATCGGGATGTACAGTTATATGGGAGCTATACAAAAACGTGGACCAGTATAAGTAATTTTCTGTCATAGAAGGACCATTTTAATATTAAAGTTCCAAATTTAAAACAATTGCGGGGAAAAATGTGAATAAAATCGTAAAAACACCGAATATCGGGAGGAACAGTTATATGGGGACTATGCCAAAACTTAGAGCTATATATACAGTTCTTTGGAATTATGTTTCCTAACTACCGAAAACATAAAATACCAATTTTTAGCAAATTCGGTTTAAAATTGTGACCAAAAATACTTTAAATCTCACGGTACAGTTGCATGGGCTAGTTGATCTAGAGACTTCTGACAGAAAAGGTATACGGTTACTGGCTGAATCTTCTCTTCTATATTGTTTTGAAAAGTTTGGTTTAAGAATCCTTGGAATATAGTGTATTTGACAGTATTATGTAGCAAAAATAATTTGGGACAACAACTTTAAATCTCAAACGAGTCACAAAATTGCCGTTTTTTATTTCAAAAATATGGATAGGATAGATGATGCATTTAAAAATTATGTAAAATAATCTTATCTGGTAAAGCGGATGATTAGAGGTCTTAGGGTCGAAATGACCTTAACCTATTCTCAAATTTTAAATGCCCAAAAAAAAAAATTCTTATTGGTCTCAGACTACATAAAAAGTCTTAATCTTACCTAAACGTGAGGAATTCACACATATTGAAAACACATTTTAAGGATAAATCTATAATTCATGTGAGTTTATGCAAAGTTCTCCTAGTATGCATCATTTTAGAAGGATGGCATCAAAGACAAAAATTTCACTTTAAGTCACTAAAGAATTGAAATCTTTTTTTCCAAAATTTATCAAAGAAATATTCCTATCCGAAGAAGAGCGAAAATATTTCTAAATTTTAAAAACAAAAATTCCTCGCCGTTTTCCGTTTAAGTGCATAAAAGTAACATAAAATTTCATTTTATGCAGAAGCAGTCAAGGAAAGAAATATTCTACACAAAATTTCACTACAAATATCAAAATAAGTCAAACACCTAGCTATAACAGTTGTTTAAGAAAATTACATTCGAAATTTGTATATTACAAGTGAAAATAATGTATTTACGTTTTTTAATTGCTAATTTAAAAGGTTTCCATTATGTGTCAAAATCTCCTTTAATTTTTCATTTCTTTGGGAAATTGTCAAGGACAAAAATAATCTTTATCAAATTTTACTATAATCCTTTAAAGAAAATAAATCTGTTTTTCCATTATTTATCAAGAAAATATGTGCATCAATGTTGCTTAAAAAACGAAAATGTGTCCATTTTTTTTAGCAAAAATTTTTCTTTTGCCTTTTTCGAGGTAATAGATAAAAGTACCATAAAAGTTAATTTAAGGCAGGTGGTATCAAAGAAAGAAATATTCTACACAAAATTTCACTATAAATCTCAAAATAAATCATATATCTAGGTTTAATGGTTTTTAGAAAAATTACGTTGGAAATTTGTATTTACAAGTGAAATTATGTGTTTACATTTTTTATTGCTAATTTAAAACGTTTCTATTCTAAGTCAAAATCTCCATCAATATTAAAATTTTTAGACAGATGTCAAAGCCAAATATATTCTAATCAAATTTCATAGTGTGTTTCTGAACAAAATAAATTTGTATAATAAATATGTACCATAAAAAGTATCATCAATTATGGTTCATAAAGAAACTTATTTTATTTTCGACAAATTTAACACTTTTTCAAAAGTCGCTGCAGGTTTTCTGATAATTTTTCTAACCAGCAGCAAGTCTGAGGTGTGGAAAATTCTTAGTGGATTTGATAATACTCGGTTTGTAGTCCAAAACTCTCTTATCTCTCTCTTATACCAAACTTTAGTAAGACTGTTCTATAGCCTTATCCATATATACAAAGCGATACCAATATTTTTAGATATATTTCGCAACATTTATTCTGGAGCCTCTAAAGTTTATAGAGGACTTTGCAGTACTGCAAGAATCATTGATTTAAAAAATGGTCCAGGTTGGTCCATCTTTTGTTATAGTCTTTATATAAGGGTTGAACTTATTTTCAAGTACTTTTTCACATTTTAGTTATATTTTCAAAGAAATATCGCAAATTGTGAAAATCTACAACCTACCAGAACATCAAATTTAGGTCCATATGTCTTTCATAAAGATACCCTGTGATATTAGTTATTGCGGTGTCTTTGGTGATATGTTCATATAGAATGGCTGAAAATTGTATTTGGGGACTTTTTTGGAATACCTTCCGACAAAATGTATTTAATATTACTATATATTTCGGAATAAGCCTCTTATACACTTCCAAAAATAATATTTTATCACCAAGACATATTTGGTCTGTTTTCAGAACCTACAAGAATCTAACAGTTTTGCAATATTTTTCGATATCACAAAGGGAAAATCGGTTATTGTTGTGAAAAGATTTATATACTTGAAGTTCTGGAACAGACCAATTGCTTACTTTCAAATACGAAATTTCCAACCCCAATTTATATACAAAAACACAAAAAATCGACTCATTCTGGCCCTACATAAGGTAGACCAAGATAATCTGTCTTCTAATCGACACATTCAGGGCCTAAATAAGGTCGTCCCAAAAGACTTGTTTTGACAATAAACTAGTAGTTTTGCACTATTGTGATTTGAATCACTTTGAATTCTTCTGGTGGCAAACTTAGTTTTCAGATGGACCATAGACCCATTATTAATGATTTGTTATTAAATATTTAAATTTCACCTCCGGGATATTTTAAAGGCAAATTTGAATATTTCAAAGATCTAAGCGAAAGAATGTAAACAAAAAAAAAAAAAAAATCGAATACTATTTAATAGCATGTTTCCATTAGAAACCGAACAACGTTGTTCGCTCTCAGAATTAGGTACACGAATTAACCCGTTCATACGGCACGATTCGTAATTCATAGTAAAATAATTCCTTTTTTCAAAAATTTTGTTTGTTGATTTTAATGGGAATTTATACGAAAATACATGAAATTCTCACTAATATGAATAGAAGAAATTATTGTTTTCCTCCCAAAAATTTATTATATAATTAATTTTACAATTTTCATTCACGATTTCAACTTTTTGTGTAAATGTAGACATTTTGAACACATTTTTGTGTTTTTCCATTTTTAAATTCTGCTGGAGAGACACTTGTCAAACATTTTTTCTGCCGATAGAAACATTTTAAAAATGTTGCCTCTTTTGTTTGCGTTTTCTGTGGAAATTTTAACTCGTGGACAAAATGCGTACCTCGAATGAGAGAGAAAACAGAATTTACTTTCGTTTGAATGTACATACGCCATTCAACATTGTAGTTTTCATTCATAATTTTCAGTCTTCCCAAAAATTTTTAAAATTTCATCAAATTTTTCTATTTTTAATTTTTAAATGTCATAATTTATTTTTTCGATAAATGCTCTCATTTGTTAGGGATGGGACATATTTTTTCGTTGTTCTGAGAGTGATTTGATTTGAACAACGTACAAATATGAGTGTTCGCTCAGGAAATTTTGTGTGAAGAATTAGGTAGTTTTTTCATAGTTAAGGGTCAAACAACGAATAGAGAGCGAATCAAGTGCAGTGGAAACGCCACATAATATTCTCATTCAAAACACAATGTAATACTATCATATTCCATTGACAAATATATCATCAATACTAGAACTAATAATGACAAATTGTATAAATCAATCATTTGGCTAATGAAAACGTTAAAAAGATATTTTAACAACATTTGTTGTCTGCGAGACCAGTTTCAATGGAATTTATCCCAAAATGTTTCTCACATTGATTGACTTACCTTTTTTAATAATCCTTGAAACAATGTCGAAATGCTGATGGCGACAATGACCATTCAATCACCGTTTGTTGAGTTAATGTTGATGATATCCTTGCTTTGTTCAAATCCCTATTATCCTTCCAAAGAAACAGTTGACACGATAATATAACAACACAATGATGGATCGATCACACGGCTATCTCGGTTTTTGTATTTGTATTAGTGATGCTGTTTTTGCGAGAATTTTTTCGCTCTTTCTTTCTTTCCTCCTCTTTTTATTTTATTGAATTGTGTGATGAATTATTAACAATTATTTGCTTTGATTTGTTGTTTCCAATGAAATGGCAAATTTTTATGTTTTCATGGAAAATTGAACAAACGATTTTGATTGATGGAAATTGGTTTGATGTCACGCCAAAAAAAATAACCAAAGCCAAAACAACAACAACGAAAAGAACACTCTCAGCACAAAAGGACACTGTCACTTGGTATTGGAATTTGTATTTGTCAATCACTTTTGGTTAAACTGGTTGTTTTTCGCTTTTTATGGGGGCGGAGGTGTTAAAAGCCGTTTGCTTTGTTTGTCTAAAAAGGCATAACAAATCACATTAACGTTATTGCCTGTTATTGGCCATAATATTGGCAATCAATGATGGATTGGCGTAAAGATATTTTCCTATTGCCATGGCATTCGCACCACAAAGGGGAGCAGGGTGAGTTTACAATGGATTTTCCATGCTATCACTGTTGTTGGCAAACACTTTTCACACACACACAACTACACAAGCTGATCTCTTGCACGTTTCACAGTTTAACTTCCGTTTTTTTTTAGTAATTGTCCTTTTTGTGTCCAGGATTATTTCCAGGAATTCTCTTTTTTTACAGGTTCTCAAGAAATTGTTTGACACCACTTGTAATCTTTAATTATTTATGGAAAACATGTAGTTCTGTTGTATCCAATAGCTTCTTGCCGTTTTTCATTAAGATAAGATTTTCATGCAACACCATGAGGGTGTGTTTTTCCCTGTTACTCTGCGACAGACGACAGAAGGAATTCCTACAGTCCAACACAAATACACACCAACACACGCAAATACACACGACCGGCAGGCACACACTTGTCACTCGTACTCTTGTGGCGAATCGAATAAGTTTTGTTTTTGTTTTGCAAACGACGTTGAGTCGTCTGTCTCAAGTCTGGGCCACAGAGACAATTTTAATTGAACGTTAATTGTTAATTTTGAGGTGTCATATGGCTGTTTTCACAGTGACACACCTTCTCCTACTCCTTCCGGGGGAATTCCAATAGAAGCATTCCCATGCAAACGTAAAGAGTCCGAAACACGAACCGTACACTGCATCACTTGACGTACGAATAATAAATAGTTTACAAAAGTTCGTAAAACTTTAAAATTTGTTGTTTTCTTTTGACAATTTTTGATTTATTGTTTTACTATTTAATTCGATTTTTTTCTGTTGCACTACACTTTATTGACTGTGTCTTCTTCTTTTTTTGTACCCACGACAATTTCGTTTGTTTTCATTACGAATTCGTTTGTCTGATTTCAAAGAATATCTTCACATGTTTTATTTATTTTTCGTACGAAACGTTACACGAAATTTTTATCCGTGCCTGACATCCTCTCGTGAACACGAACGTTTAACAACTGTTAATTTTCCAATATGATAATACAATATGATGGCACTGTATATCGCTATGTTAACGCCACATTGCCCTTTCGCTGTTACTAACAGAGTATCAAAACAAAAACAATGTTATCGTGTTGTCGGCTGGAAATAACAGTGTATCAACAACATGTTATGGTGTTCTGTTTCTTGTTTCAAACGTTACTTCTGTTAAGTACAGAGGTGGCATTTACATTTTCTCAGCTCTCACAGAGAGTAGGCAATAAAATTCAATGTAAACAAATTTTAGTTTTGATGTTAAGTGGTTTTTTTGTAGCATGCGAGAAATTTTATGCAGTGTCAATGAAATCATTCAGTTTTTTGCGTTAACACTGCGTGAAGGGTCTTTTCCCATACATATTCTGCGTGAATTAATTCGTGATTGTGTGAAATTGCCAAGGGAGTTTCCCAAGGGGTGAGTGCGTCAAGAGTTTTGTGGACAAATAAATATATAAAATACAGGTTGCATTTATTGCCCATGGCTTTTAAGAGAATTTTTTCCAAAGTCCTTCAGAGCAATGTGCAATTTTTCATGGGTCACCATGAATGATTTTTTCAAGGAGCCTCAGAGTCACAAACCTATGATTTTTTCGAGAATCATTAGTGCTACTGAACTTCGATTTTTCAAGGTTTTTTAAGAAGATTTTTCCGAGGATTTTTTTCAGAGCCTTCTAACCTGGATTTTTAAGTCAATTTTTTTGAAGGACCATTAGATTTAGGTGCAGCAAACCGTTTATTTGTAAAAGGGTCATCAGAGCCACAATCCGCTGAATTTTTTAAGGACTATAAAAGATCAAACTATATGGATTTATGTGGATTTTTGAAAGAGTTTTCCAAAGCCAAGAAAGTAAAATTTTTTTAGTAAGATCAAAAATCTGAATTTTTAAGAAGATCAATCAGAGTTACACCTCTGATCTTCCACAAGGACATTTAGAGTCACAAAACTTGATTTTTCTTCATGGATCAACATTTTAAAGGATCATCAAGGATTTTTTCAAAAACCAAATGAAGCACCAAAAACGTGGAGTTTAAAAACAGATTCTTTCAAGGACCTTCAGAACAATATAATTTTGAGAAGATGTATTCTTGGATTTTGGCAAGGATCATTGGAGCCATCAAATATCGATTTTTTCCAAGGCCTAACAGAACCACATAATTTTTATTTTTTAAGGGGCATTAGATAAACAGAACCATAAATATTAACTCCTTATACAAGGTGGCGCAAAAGTAAACTTCCGATGATATTTTGGGTTATTTTTTATTTTATTGGATTATTTTTATTTGTCTTTTTATTTTTTTTTTTTACATCAAGTCGAATATGATGTCATTTAAATGGCCCCGCCACAGTTTATTGCCATTTGAGCTTTTTTTACGGCATTTTCCATCACTTTGGCCAAAATTTCCGGCGATAGGTCCTCACATTCCTGATGGATATTGTCTTTAAGAGCTGAAAGAGTTTGAGGCTTGTTGACAAAAACCCAAAAAAAGTAGGCGTCAGGGAAATGTATCCTTCAGCACGTAGATTGTGGCAGGATCAGTATGTGCCTTTACACAGTCCTATTGGAACCACAGGTTTTCAAATCCCAACTCATCAAGTTGCGAAAAAAAAGTCGTTGATCACTGCTTTGTAGCGCTCTTCGAGAAAAAACGGTCCGAAGACTCCTCACCAGTAGGCGTTATACGTCCAGGAATTTTATAGAATTTTCTGATATTAGATTCCGAATATTGAATTGTTTTATCATTTTTTACAAAGAGATATTATCCAGCTGGGATCCTAAAATTATAGTTTTCTTATGGCTGTGAAGGATACATACGATTTAGTTTTTATCACCTTAAAATATCAAAATCTCCCTCCTTTGAAATTCTATACCACAACATATTTTAATCCTCGCCTTAAAACGTGAAGAACATTTAGAAATTCGAAAAAAAACTTATCAAATGCATCGACATAATTTCAAAACAAAGCCCCTAAAAGAACGCCTGCCCAATAAAAACATTGTCACGCTTTGGGTCTCATCCTTTCACGTTTGCTGCATCGCGACTCTGAAACCTTTTGTTAAGACCTTTTTTTGTGAAATTCTCAAACATTTGTTTCAGACATAATCATGATGTTATCGCTTAATCTTGACATTTGCATTTTACCTCCTTCAGTCCAACTACGGTGTCTTTTTTGGAAAACAATCATCTTTATTCTTCCATCTTTTGTACGTCAAGGTGGGAGGGAAAGAAGCCGAAAAGAAAAAAATCTAAAGAATTATCTACATTTTAACATCAATAAGTCTGGAGGAATTTGTTGTCAGTTTACCATTAATAATTTCCGTTCCTAATGACAGTAAGTCAGTCAGTCAGCCAGCCAGTCATTGAGTGAGTGAGTTTGGCAAACATCACTCAGTCAAAATCGCTGGGAACGCGAATGAATAGCGAAGAAAACAACCCAACAAAAATGAAATTAATGCAAGTTTTGCATGTTTCGGCAACGAAATAGAATGAGGAGAACACCAACTGAAACGAAAGAAGCAACAAGACGCTCTAAGGAAGAGGAAGTTTTTCAAACCATGTGGCGTAAAAATCATCCAAAATTACAAAATATTTGAATAAATCACCCTTTGCAAACAAATAATGATTAAAATATTAAACCTTTTTTTGAAATTTTCGATCCAACACTTGAAAACCCCCAATACTCGAATGACTAACCAATGTTGTTAGTCTGTGAACGATTGTTGTCTGAAAAATCCACAGTAGACCCCCTGCCAAGGCAGAAATGTCAAAATTTCTGTGTAAATGTCAAATGATTGATGGATTGTCATTCATCTCCCCTGCTTCGTCCTTAAACGACATTGCTTTTATCTTTTGCAAAAATCTTGGATAATTTTCAATGGATTTTGAATATGGCGCGATGGCGGTAGTCGGGTTAATCAAAGTATCATTTCGAGTTAGAAGGACGAACAACAAAGGGACTTCATTTCATACGCTTCCAGCTAAAAGGCATGAGATTTGCGGCCATCTCCATCACTAATTACTTGGGAGGAGTGGCAACAACAAAACGCACATACTTGGATGGATGGTAAGTGGCGAGTTTTCGTTTTTTTTTTGCGCTAATGACTCATAATATTTCATTGTTTAATTTTGTATAAATACCAGTTGAAATCATTTATCACTCGTGGCAGAAATGAAAAAGACATTTAATAAATGATTTCGCATTCATTGCGAACATAACGCACAAACATACACACACACAGAGAGACATCCAAACAATGTCTTTAGTTTTTTTGGCGGGTCCAAATTACGTCGATGATGGAGAATGGAGTGTGGTACCCGAGAATGATTGACGGACAAATGGTATGGGCTGTCAAGGAGAGGGACAGTGGTTTGGAATTTTCTATTAGATCTGGGAAGTAGATAGATACCTCAAAAGTGTGAGAAAAAGAAAAAATCTGTTTATGTAGAATATAAGAACCTACGTTTGGATAATATAAAGAAAATTGAAAAAAAAAAAAAAAAAACGTTCTTACATGGACTTCCTATGGAAGATGGAAATAGCGGTCGTATAAAACCAAGAGCGTTTCTTAAAGGGTTCACTCAGTTTTTCTAGCGATGGAGAAGATTAAAAATGTTCCTTTTTTCGATCGGCTGATGTTTAAGTAAATCAGAGAATTCTTAAAAAAAGAAAAAATATTGAGATGATCCGGGATCCTTTGCAGATGATAATAATAACAATTCTTAAAGGGCCAAGATATTTTATAATTCTTGGAAAAAATTGATATTTTAAAGAATTCTAACCCCTAACAATCCAAAGATCTTTTAAAGGACACACATTTTTATAATGGGAAAAATGTCGGTCTTGTAATGAGGGATTTCTAAATAAATATGAAAGCCTCTTTTTATAGGAAAAGAAGAAACCGACACTGCCGTGGAAGGAACAAAGGAAGTTTTGGGTCTTGTTACGCAATACTGTAGTAGGTATTCCATAGGAGCTCCGAATCGCAACCCTAGGAGGTATTCATTTCATGAATGTCGAAGCTTTTTCGATTTTTCGACATTTTAAACAATGAGGATTATAAATGGTAATAAGTTCGGTCTGGACGAATATGTCAGACCCTCCACGAGAAAAGCGTCAATTATGACCAAATTGCATGAAAATGTGGAAGAGGCCATTATTACAAAGTGGTAACGAAGTCAGTACATCAGCTTTCATATTATTCAGTTATAAAATCCCAGTAATTCGGTGGTCCTTTTTCAGGGCTATTACAACTTTTGAACAAATATTAAAATTTTTCCAGAATTTGTTCTACCAAATACGATGCCTGAATAATTTTTTGCAGCCATATTGACTGGGAATGTCTAAAATTGATCGAATAGGCTATATAGGGCTAATGTCGGTATATGGATCCATATAAGTAATTTTAGGAAAATTAAGCCACTGACAAGCAAAAATTCCAATTTGGAGGAAAATTGTGGCTGATATGGAAATACCCGGATATGTAACTCGAAAATCCGATTCCAAGACCTGGGTTAATCCCGGAACCACTGCAAATTATTTAAATGTTTATGAAAACAGCTATCCAACAAATGGTCAAATGGTTTGGGAGTTATAACAAAATTATTGACCCTAATTTTATAAAATCCCAAAAGAGTCTGAAAAGGGCACATTATAAGGGCCACTCTAACCCTTCAAAAATGCTAAGATATATGTGATTATCTTTTCCGGATTCAGATATAGTGGTCTTTAAACCTGGACAACCTTATTCTGTTGGTTAATTCAAATGATGTTTTAAAAATAAAAAAAAAATAAACCTTTAATTCGCCTAGCCGATGTAGGCGACACGACCCGACCCGACCCGATTTTTTATAAAACCCCTAAAAGGTCTAAAAAGGTCCTTTATAGGGGCCACTCTAACCTTTCCAAAACGGTAAAATATGTGTGATTTCCTGGATTCAGACATGGAGTTCTCTAAGCCTGGACAACCCTACTCTGTTTTGTTAATTGAAA